GGCTCCTCGCCCCGCCCAGGGGCTGCGGGGACTGGAAACCGAAAGTGCGCGACTTCGGGCGGGGCCGCGACCTGCCAGGGCCGGAGCTGAGTGCTATCCCGGTGGAGGACGCGCCGGAGTCGGTGAGTGGCCTCCGCCCCATCCCGCACCTGCTCCTGCGGCGCCGCGATCACCAGCGCCCGACTCTGCCTCGGGCCGGGTGTCAGATTAGCCCTGAAGTCCCTGTCTGCCCTGCTCAGCGTCCCCATTACCCCCGGAATCCCTGTCCCGTTCCCTCAGTTTTTTTTTAGCCCACAGAGTCCCTGTCCCCTTTCCCCAGTTCTCTCTACAGTCCCCCCAGGGTCTCTGCTCCCTTCCTTCGCTGCTCCTATAGCCCCTGGAGTCTGCCGCCTTCCCTAAGTTCCTCTATAGTCCCCAGAGTCCCTGTCCCCTTCCTTCGGCGCCCCATCACCCCCCGGAGTCCTTGTCTGCTCCTTCAGTTCCTCTACAGCCCCCGGAGTTCCTGTCTGCTCCCTCAGGCTCCCTCAGTTCCCCTATAGCTCCTGAAGTCTCTGTCTGCTTCCTCAGTTCCTCTACAACCCCCGGAGTCCTGTCTGCTTCCTGAGTTCTCATATAGCCCGGGAGTCCCTGACTGCTCCCTCAGTTCCCCTACAGCCCCCGGAGCCCCTGACTGCTCCCTCAGTTCCCCATCATCCCTGGATTACCTGTCCTTTTTCCTCATTGCACCCTCAGCATCTAGAATCTTTTTCCACTGTCTTCACCACCCCAAGAGTCCTGCTCCCCTTCCTTAGCTCCACTATCCCCCTCAATCCTCAGTATTGTTACCGGTTATCAGGAGCCCCATCACCCCTAAATCCCTGCTCCTTACCATCACTCCCCAGAGTTTCTATCTCCTCTCCTCCCCCAGCACCCATCATCACCTGCTGAGTCCCTAGCACTGCCATTGCCACCCTCCCCCTTCTCTTCAGCTCACCTGTCACCACCCTGTTCCCCCCAGTGCCCCTTCATCTCAGCACCCAGGCACCTCTAGGAGACTTCTTCAGCATCCCGTGAACTCACAATCAGTAGCTCTCCACCGCATCCCCACAGTCCCCATCCTGGTGATCTCACCATCTCCGTTTCTCATCCCTATCTCTGTCCCCACTTCTGCCACAGCCACCCGCTGCCTCTGGCCTCATTCCTTTTGCTTCATTAGCATCTGCAGAATGCCCTAAGCTCTGCCCACTTCTAGAAGCCCCCAGATCTCTCCAGCTTGCACTGAGGGATGAGTGGTGTGGTGACTTCTCTGACTTGAAACAATCCAGCTGCCACCTCTTGCTCCACCTCTCTCATCTTACCCCATAATTACTGCTTTCTAATTTCTATCCTGGCAACAGCTTAACCATTGCGGATCTTCTTCCTGCCCTCCCTGCCTTGATCCCCTCAAAACCCTAAACAAAGCAGTCCCCTCTCCTGTGTGCCCCTCCCTTTCTAGCACTTTTCTTCTTCCATTTTTTTCTACACTCTGGCATTCTATTTTAGTGTTTTTCAAAATGAAGAAGAAGGAATTTTTCTTCCCAGAAAAATTAAAAACAGACTCTAACCATTGAGCCTGCAGTGAGAGAACAGGGTTTGGTAAGCTGAGAAGAAAAGACACCACAAAAATATTCCCAGCGGGAAGAAAAAAGACTCTTTTTCAGATAAGAATAAAAGCTACCTCTCATACAATGCCAAATCTATTCACAGTTTCCAACTATGAATATTTTAAAACTGTGAGGACGGTCTCAAAAATCCTTTTGCTGGGAACTGAGTCACCGCCACCCCACCCCCCTTGCACCCACATGATATGCATGAGTTATATTGAGAAGTTCCCTGAAGGGGCTTCCTCTTCCCCCAGAGTCAGAAATTATTGAGATGGAAGAAGGGTGAGAACTGCTGACTTCTGGCTGGTCCCCAGGAAATAGCACTAATAGCTCCCTTGTTTCCAAGCTGTAGGGAGCAGAAACTTAGACTGCTGTGGCGCAAGAATGCCAGGTAGGGTGGTTGGTACTTGGGTACTTTGTTGAAGCAGGGTCTCATAGTCCACATGGGCCTCAGATTCAGTGGAGGCTGGTTTTGAATTTATGATTTTCCTGCTTCTGCTTCCCAAGTGTTCTTCAGTTCCTGAGCTACGTGCCTTCACCTCCCAGGAGCTGAGATGAGAGGGTGAGTGTGCACTCTCTGGCTAGCTAGTACATAGTCTGGAATTGACAGACATGTGCTCCTTTTGCCCAGCAATTATTTTGTAAGAAAGGAAACCGAAACCTAAGCAATGGATTAAGTAACTTTGCTGAAGGCAAACCAAACAGTAGTTTGGGAGTTAATGACACTCTGTCCCTACGCAGGTACAGGAAGAGTCCAGGAATGGACAGTTAGTTGGATCTTTTGGAATCGCCTAAATTGTGAACTTAGTTTATATCATGGTTGGGAATCTACAAGGCTGAGTGTTTGTGCCTATGATTAAAATCTGCATTTACTATCTTACTCTTAGTTAATAAGTCATTAACATGTACAGGCAGAAAGGCTGGCTTCACCGTGTTTGGCTGTTTGCTGTATTTGAAGGGCACTGGTAACGCTCAGCCTGTGCTGTTACGGATAACTTCAAGTCAGGTGAATGTAGAAGGATTGCTGCAGCTCAGACATGGAAGACAGAAGACCGCACCTGGAAGCCAGGCCCAGGAATCCCCTTGCCAACCACAGAGGTAAGCAGGGTTCTACCCAGTGGAAAGGAGAAGCCTACTTGGGATGGCCTGTGTTTTTCAAATAAGGATCTTGCCAGGCAGAGGTGGCATGGGAGACCGAGATAGGCTAATCTCTGAGTTCAAGGCTAGCCTGGTCAACAGAGTGTCAGGACAGCCAGGGCTACAGAGAAACCCTGTCTTCAAACCAAACAAACAAACAAAAAAGACCTTAGCTACAGCACAACCTCGGAGAGCTGGGAATGGGTGCTGATAGGAGGCCTGCCATTCCAGTGGATGGAGGCAAGAAGGCTGAGGATTCGAAGCCAGCTGAGCAGTGAGATCAAGGCCATCCAAAGTTCCATAATGAAACTTTGTCTTAAAAACCCGGGTTGAGGGGTACAGCTCAGCAGTGGAGTGCTTGCTCACCCCCTGCCTCACATAAGGCTCTTGTTTGGTCCCTGGCACTGTGAGGGTGAGAAGAAACAAGTGATGGGATGTGAGAAACAAAATAATTCCTGGTTTGCAACAGGGCTGTCCAGTAGAAACTTGGGATCTCTAAAAACTACTTTGTAATCTCTAATAGCATCATTAGGAAATTTAGAAGCAAACCAGTCAGTAACTTTGATGACATTTGTTTGTTTATGTGTGTATGTGCCGTCCTGTGAAAGTCAGAGAGTTTTTCCTTCTGCCGCATGGGTCTTCAGAACTAAACTCAGATCTTCAGGCTTGGTAGCAAGTGCCCTTATCTACTAAGATGTCTCACTGACCTTGACTTTTTTTAAATTTAATGCCAACTTAATAAATGTAATGCTCTAATTTCTTAATTTAATCATATCCCAAATATTAATATTTTATGAGAACTGATGTACATATAGACATATGTAGGACAAAACATTCATATATATATATAAAATCATATATTTTAAAAAATTTAGAGGCCAGCTTGGGTTAGATCCTGTTTCAGAAAAAAAAAAAAAGTACCTAGCCAGGCATGGTGGTATATCTCTTTAATCTCAGCATTAGGGAGGCAGAGGCACCAAATTCTGTGCATTTTAAGGCAGTCTAGTCTATGTAGTGAATTCCAGACTAGTCAGGATTACACAGTGAGACCTTGCATCAAAAAAAAAAACAACCCAAAACCACAAAAAACAGCTAAGTGTGGGCTGGAGAGATGGCTCAGAGGTTAAAAGCACTGACTGCTCTCCCAGAGGTCCTGAGTTCAATTCCCAGCAACCACATGATGGCTCACAGCCATCTATAATGAGATCTGGTGCCCTCTTCTGGTGTGCAAACATACATGAAAGGAATGTTGTATTCATAATAAATAAATAAATCTTTAAAAAAAAAAAACAGCTAAGTGTGTTCTGCATCTGATGCAGTGAGCTGGTCCATCATCTTAAGTATTGCATGTATTTATAGCTTTGCTAACTGACTGTGAAATTGTGCACAGACATTGTTTTGTAAACTCCACACCACTCTGCTAAAGTAAGTGTCTCTAGAACCAGCCTTAGAGGAAAGAAGAGGGATTGTGAGTTTGCCTAGCAAAGGTAGCCCCCTGCACAGGGTGCTGGCTCCCAGGTCCCAGGAACTGTGGGACACCACCCTCCCTTTCTGGCTTCCATTGTGAGGACAGCAATAGATGGGGGAGGGGAGAAGTGGCTGATAACACACAACCAGAGTTTCGTTTTTCAGTTTCCTGAATCAAAGTTTAAGTTTCATTTTCCTATAAGGAAACTGGATGTGCGTGCTTCATTTTCTCTACAGTCTGTTGGTTAGGCATGAAAATAAAAAACATCTTGGAAGAGGGAGTGCTGCTTCCTCTTTT